AGTGGCCATCAGGACTATGTGGCCTGGGTGCCATCTGGCTACAATGGCGCCTTTGGTCTTGATAACAGTGCCGCAGTGCTAGCTGCCAGGAATTCCTTGTACACAAGGACGGATGGAAATCCGTATGTGTGGCCGCGGGATGTTGTCCCCACGAAGCTGTACATTGGCAAAAAGAACACAGACAAGGATGGCAACGCAGACACCACAGACTTCCTGGCGAGAAACGGGTTTGAGTATGGAGCACTCTATGGTTTTGCGGTCAACTGTAACATGGTTACAACCCGGGATGAGTGGCACAAAACCGCGTCTCCTGGCAATACTGTGAGCGGTGCCTTCTACAAGCTGCGCTGGCAGGCTGTCCGAGGGATGGTGCAAGGCTTCGAGCACGATGGAAGCTGGGAATTCCAAGACGCCCCTCAGGGTGCCCCGGCTGGCTGGTGCTTCTGGAATTCCGCTGGCAATGATGCGTCCGGTGCTAAGACAGAGCATGTGTCGCCCGACCCTAGGGGTGGTCACCGCGTCCTGCAGGGTTCCACTGCTGGTTATTTTGGCATATATGAATTCTCGGAGCTCCCATCCCTGCTGCAGTCCAGTGGCAGCACCATGCCCAACTTCATCCCGGCGACCTACACAGTGTACCAGCCTGAGTCCGACGTCGCCGACCTCATCGAGCTGGGCGGCGCCGGGGTTCGCGCGGACGGCAACGACCAGACCAAGATGCGCGACAGCAGCAGGGACAAGTCGACTTTTGAGGACGGGCTTCGGGCAAACCCCGGTTGCAAGCATTGTTTTGGGGATCTATTTTGGGGAGTTATGGGTGCAGAGGGGTTGAGTGCCGGGTGCGAGAAGCTTTGAGTGCTGGAGGATGTGGATGGCATGGAGTGGATTGCCGCGGCCAACGGGGAGGACTACTTTGTAATCCACGAGGATGGTGGCAACTGGTACGGTGAGCGCAAGTTCCTGGCCAAGGTGGGCATTCCCATGAAGTATTACTTTGTGGCGCAGAGTGGCGGCCGCCAGAACTCCCGTGAGCTTGCTGGCGTGAGCTCGGTAGCGGGTGTGCACGGTGGCGCGGGCTCCCATGAGTTCTCGGGTGCCTTTGACCTGTCTGGCTTGCTTCGTAAGGATGCTTCCGGCAACTTTGAGTTGCAAGTTGGGGACGTCAACGGTAAGAAGCGCCAGCTGGAGGCCGCCACGCCCATTAATGAGAAGACCATCGCGGTGAACCTGCAGGCCCACACCAACAGGGCAGGCTTCGCCGACGTCTTCAAATCCGATCGTGTTGCGCAGGTCCTGGCGTACAAGCCCAACGTTCCGGCCTGATCGAGCAGGGACACTTGAGCTGGACTAGCCCAGCTTCGTGTTGTAGTATTAGAGAAAGTCTACATTTAATTCTATGCGGAGATTCCTTGTGTTTACAACCTTGTTTGTGTTTGCAAGTGGGTCTGCGGCCTCCATCTGTTTCCGGAAGCCTTTCGGACAGACACGATGTTTGTCAGTTTTGTTCTTACTCTTGCTGTGGAGCAGCGTTGTGCCACTTCACTTCGTCACTTGCGTCAGCCGAAAGTTTGCTGCGCTGTGCAAATTCTGGTTTACAGTCCTTGAGAATGTCTGTCAGCATAGCATGGATGGACAGCGGCTGCTGCCAAACCACAGCTAGCGCCGCCTACAGGGAATGGGGGAGTGGGTTATGGGGACTGTTTATGGGAAGCTCAGTATAAGGGCAGTATAGGGATAGTAGAGGTTAAAGGGATAGTGGAAAAGAACACGGAAACTGGGATGATACGAGGGTAGCTACAGGCATCCATTCCCCGCAAGAGCTGTAAAGATTTTCGTTGAGGCTCCTGAGCCAGCATCCAAAGTGGAGTTGACTTTCGAGCCTCTTCGTGCCGACCGCTGCATAAGCTATTGCTTTAGGTGAGGCCACCACCCACCACACCAAAGTCCCCCAGAGGTTTTAGGTTTTAGGGTTTAGGCTTCAGTGCAAGGAAGACTATGCCTTTTGGGCAGGGGGTGGTAGCCTGCCCCAACTAGCGGTGCCTGGCTACTGACCGCGCTCTGTACGCGACCATCCCGTTAGAAAGTGCTCCCGCGCTACGCTGCCACAGCAGTAGACGCAGTAGCCATGATGACAATTAACAGATGTCCTGCTCCGGTACCGTTTTTTGACAAACACATACGAGCTTCCCTGTTCCTGGACCGCTTTTTATAATCACATCATGATTTTTGATCCCCTATTGTGGCAAAGAGTATTTGTTTCTCAGGGCCAGGCTTACCGGTCAGCCTGTACTGGCGGGATTCTTAGGGTGACTATTGGTGTACCCTGTGTGGCATGGCGCATGGTACTCCCAGATACGAATCTAGCAAAACCGCCCAATACCTTAACCAGAAACCCGGAACCACATACCAGCACTTTCCCCTCCTCAAGGTGAGATAATTTTTTGTGCGAAGGTCCACAGCTGACATGACCTGTTTGGAACCGTATTTGGAGGGACCGGAGGTCCTGCTGATAAGCATGGGTGGGCTCAATACCGCACTTGCAAGGGGTTCATATAGCCTAGCTTTCAGCCTCAAGTACAACTACCGTCGATGTTCCCCTAGCACCCGGATAGGATTCGGGGAGTGCGTTTTAGGGTAATGGTCCTCTTGCATAGATAAGACACAAGGGATACAAAGGACATTATTCTTTTCTCGGTTGGTGGTGGTGGAGCGATTACATGATTTCTAAGATAATGTTCCGTTTAAGGGCCTAACCTGAGAAAAGGCCAGCTTTCTACCAACTAACGCACAATTCTCACGACTTCGAAAGCATAAAGCTTGCACCGCAGACTCATTACGCACATCTAGGTTCCAGTTTTATTATTCACATCAGGATGTTAATTCTTCGGTACCCCGGTAGTACCCTTGTTCCTTTTTTATTTAGCGGTCTTCTTATTAAAGCCGAACATTAGGAAAAAGGGTACCCGCATCATTCAAGCGCTACTGGGCAACCTTAATCCTTGTCTGGCCACAACAAATGTATCCTTGCATAATGGCTACACAGAAAGGGTGGCCGGCATGCAGCATGACATCCAACCCCTTACAAACATGTCTTTGCATTGTTACATAATGGGGCTCAGGGTTTAGGAGTTTAGGGCGTAGGATTTAGGGTTTAGGGGTTTAGGACTTAGGGTTTAGTGTTTAGGAGTTTTTAGGTTTTAGGGAAAAATTAGCGGGAAGAGATTGTGTGGATCCTTACGAGGTTCTTTCAAGACTGTGGTGGCGACGGTCGAAGAGGGGCACGGATGGCCTGAGAAGATTGATATGCGAGAAGAATACATGGTGATAATACAGTCCCCAATATGGAGGAAGATGATGTCCTTCTTGTGGCTATTGTATGTCAGAGGAAGACCGTAATTTCTGCGTGGTTCAACCACAACAGGCACTACTCACATACAAAACGTTCAACAGCAAAGGCCACCAGTCTTAATTCCTCAGGAGAGCGTATACCAAACCCGAGACCTTCAACCCTGAACTGAATAATTTTGCAGGCTCAACTGGAGCTTGAAGTATGGCGAAAGCAGGATGCCCAGCATTCATATCTCAGCTTTGACGGAGACTTCGCAAGATTTCTGAGATTTTCTGGGAAAGCAGGGTGTCATGAGGATTGGATGGAAATTCGCTAGCGTTTCTGCTTCTCAGGAGGTTGTGTTTAGATTTCATGCCGGTGTTGCCTCAGAAGAGGCTGCAATTGGATTGCTTTTGCAATAGCCCCTTCTTTAGCCCCATTTTGGCTGGGGTACCGAATGTTGGGATTGTCCGAAGTTAGTACGTTTCCTCTGTCAGGTTTCAAACCGTCCGTCTCCTCTCATAAGAAGCACCGCTCTTTTGATTTTATGTAGGTACTTTTCAGAAAGATTTTCATGGCTGGGGGAAGTAGGATGCCTTGTTGAGGGAGGTAAGTACCTTTCTAGTCTTCAGGGTCCTTCAGGTTAACCCCAAACACTAATTCCTATACCACAAAACCTGGACCGAAATCCGGAACTACATCTCCCCTGTATCACTATAGTCTAATCCTACATCGAATCTTGCGGCTTCAATTCCTTGAATTTTACAAGGAAGTGGAGGGAAACTCCGTGGCGAAGGTACAAGACAATTTCTTAAAGGCGGAAAACTCAGGAGTCGCCCCATTTTTTGGACATATTCGGGTTCAGGGTTTAGGGGCTTCTGAAAATAGCGTGCCGCTGGAGATGATGACAGACTTCTAGGGGTCCCTCTGAGGGATGCTACAGGTTACATTTTGAGAAACCTACACGTAGAAATTCCAGGCAGCCGAGGGTTGCGTCGTAACGGCCTACAAGTATGACATGTTGCGGTGAATGAGGAGTTCCCACCCTAACCCTGCTGCTTACTAGTAGGGAATGGAAAAAATTGAACTTACTATGTAGGAGCTATAGCCTAAACTTCTAGTATCCCCCAAAGAACCCCCATAATAGTATCCCATGTAATCCTCTGCATAATCCTTTTTAAAGACTTCAGACTACAGCTCATATATGTGTCGAGTTCAGGGTCTCTGGAATGGAATTGACAGGGAAACTATTATCCTGCAATTCAAATGGGAAAGAAGGGGTTCATGTAGGTAGTTGGAAAGGGTTTAACTACTATTGCGGAAGTCAAATTGAAAAAATGGGGTTACGTAGGGATGTTCGAAAGGGTTTAGGGCCCATGAAAATATTATTCTGGAGAGTCAACTGTAAAAGACAACAGAACGCGACATGGACACTTTGGTTGCATAGAGTGTTTAGGGGGATGTATATAAGGGAGTTCGAAAAAACATGGAAATGAAAGTATTGGGCATTGTCTCGCGACCTCTATAGCTATCATAGTTATATTGTTGAGGGTTATATGGGACTGCTATGACCCTAAATCCAAAACCCTAGGCCCTAATATATCCTATAGACCCAATCCCCACCGAAAGCGGGGTGTGGGACTACTATAGGAATGGAAATTGTGATTGTACTGGGGTGTGAATGGAATCTATTTTTGGGTTTTAAGGTTTAGGGATTTAGGGGTTCAGGGTTTAGGGTGTTAGGGTTTCTGTTCACGCGCCAGTAAGCAACAGGTCCTCTCTCGCCGACGTCTCCAAGTCCGACCACATCGCGCAGGTCCTGTTCAACAAGTTAAAAGTTTTCGCCCCAGGGGTTTTACTGCCTTGGCCTTTATTTAGGGATCTATATATACATGAGTAGAATACGCAGGATAATGGAAAAGAACATGGAAACTATTTTTTTAGGGTTAAGGGTTTCGGGGGGGGGGGTTATACAGTGGGATTATATAAGGGATTGTGCAGGATTTCGGGACACCAGGTACCCTGTGTACCCCCATATGAGCTATAGTCCCTAGTATCCCCCTTAATAAGCCTTTTGTAGGAACCCAGAATACTCGCTTATATCCACCCTTTTTAAGGAGCCTAGATTACAGCTCATACAACCCTGAACCCCAAACCCAAATATCCCTTGGCCTAAGGTTCTGGAGGGCTGCGCACTTGCCCTGGAACCTTTGAGGGTTCCCTAGGGTTTAGGGCTTAGGGGGTTCCCCGCCCAAGTGAAACCCTAAACCCTAAACCCTAAACCCCTAAACCCAAAGCCTTAGAGCCTAAACCCGCAACTGAAGGGATCCGTAAGGGGATGCCATATATGCGAGCCCCATGTTAGGAGATCACATCGGAATTCAGGGAACGTTAGGGAGGCCTTGGGAGATTTAGGTTTAGGGGGTATAGGGTTTAGGGTTAGATTCCCTAAATCAGTCACGCGCAGAGAATGTGTAGCTTATATAGGGTCACTATATAGGGTGTGCATGGGGGCTACAAGGGATATATTGGGCTTGGGGGTTAGCCAGGAGCCAAGTTCCCTGGATTGACCACGATAGATTGGACCAGTGAAGTCACTAGTTTTTCGTGATGTGCTCGTTTGGTTATGTTCTGATGAGACAGACAAACTCGTGATTTTGCCGCGGACTTCCACCAATTAGATTGTGAAGGATTTTTGGATCGAATACTGAACCCGAAGCTCTAATATTTCACCCGAACCCGCAACCCTCATTTTTGCAACTGTTTTTGACTGATGAGATTCGGATAGCTACAGGTACTACAATGCTTTGCTCATCTGCATGCGATCTGTTGGGAGAGGATTCTGTTTGGAGTTGGCGTGAACTTTTTGTGTATATGTATATGTATGTCTTCGTGCTTAAGCCCTATCTCTTCAGCCCCAAACCCTAAATGCCTTTGATTTTTTTATTTGGGCACAGCGGTCTCCTCCCGCAATGGTCCCCCGCCTATTCACCCC